ACAAAGACATAGCTAAAAACAAAATAACCTTGAGATCTTGTGGGAGGGTTATTTTACTTACATTTTAAAAACTTTTCAACAAAAGGACTAATGACATAAAATGCTGGTGGCATGTACTAGAACTTGCCAAATAGACCTCTAGACTTATAGTAAACATCAATTGGACACGGTTTCTATTGGTCCATGTAGAAATGAGTCACCTCATTAAACTCTATTTTTGAGATGGATTTTTTGACTTAATTTTTAAAGGCATGTCATCTTTGACAGATCATGAATGTGAATAAATAAATAAATAAATGTTGAAAATTAAAAATAATAATTCTATTAAAAAATATTTAAACCATTAGTTTCAATCATTTATAGATGGACTACATGTTTGCATCCATCTTTACAATGGATGATTTATACCTCGGGGATCGCAAATTGTAACAATGCGGTCCCCGCCACATGGAACAATTTTCCTTATAAATAAGGTATGAATTCCATTGAAAATTTTGCCCTTTCTTTCAACTAAATCGATTCTTGGAAGAAATAGAATAACTTTTCTTTTTCGTTACTTTTAATCAAGGGCAACTAAAAGTTTTCCTATTATGAATTCTATGACATGAAACAAAAATCAAATACATAAACAAACAAAATATGGACATGTTTATGTATTTTACCTCAGCATTTTGATCTCCATACTTGTCTTTCTTAGGAAAAGGAATTCCTTCCGTGCTTTTCTCCCCAAAAGCCCTAACAAATTCAGGGACGACATTGTCATTGTTTTGAGTTCTGTATATTGGAATTGTTCCTGCTGGGCACTTTTCGAATTTATTCCATACTTGAGAGCTCACGACCCTTTCCTTGCTTGAAATCTTAGGCTCAGTTGATGCCTCATTCGGATACCAGCTAGGTCTCATCTATTTTATTAGAATGGAGAATTGAAATCAAAATATACAAGTGTGTGTTCCATGCGTAAGAATGAGTGTGTTCCTCTCAAACACGACATTTGTCATTAGCCGATATCAAAACCACTTTTTTGGTATTGGGGTACAAAAACTTATAAATTGTTATCTCTAGACCCTTTCTGGTCCTAATTTTATTTGGTTTGGATTGTCCATATCTAATTTCAGGGTAGTTGAAGAAAAGGATTGTTTCATAACTGTTTTTTAGTATGAGGTGAGTAATTGGAGCTTAAACACCTCAACAGTAGATTTTTTGGGGCTTCAACACCTCCCAAGTAATCCTTTGCCATCTATTTTAGAGGGTTATTTACATGAATTCATGTATTCTCAGATTTAGTCGCAATTGTATGGTAACCATTGGACTAGTTGAATTAGTTTAGCCCAAAGAAAAAATTAGATTTAATTGAAATTAGTTAAAACAAATGTAGGGCTTTTGCTTGCAAAAGCTAGTTTTGATTAGTTAGACTGACTTAACATATATTATAAAAGGAATTTATTCAACCTTGTTAAATCAATCCAATTTATCAAATTTTGCTCCCTATCTTGGGAAAGCCACATTCATTTTAACTAATTTTGGATTAAATATGTGTTCTACTTTAGACTAAACTACCCAAAAAACAAGCTATCAAACTAGTTCGATTAACCAATCCGGTCAGGTCATGATAGCAAATGCTATCTCTCTATATACCCCAAATTCAAAAGAAATAGGTAATGAACTACTCTCTCTCTCCACAACATGCATTGGTGAGACAGACTTTTCAAATGGGGGCATTATGAGGGATCGTCAAACTTGGAGAGACTTTTGTAAGGGAAACGTTTTTGTAAGGGTGAGGCTCTAAACAATCATTTAAAGGCACACCTCAAAAATTCATTAAAAAAAATTGCTATGATGCCCAAAAAATCTTCATATCGATCATCTTGACCTCAAGATTTATGGACATGAAAAAAATAGATTTAAAATATTGTAAGTAATGCATCTTGTAAATCATTTTCTTCCCCGTCAATTTTTAAAATTTTCAAGTGTTTATAGATCTACTCGATTTTTGCTATTCTGTAAGCTTTAAATTTTATAATTAGAGCTTGAAATAAATTTTCATGCTATCACACAGATTTTCAGTACTGAAACAACCTCTGTTGATACTATTTGAATATGGGCTTTATTTTTTATTGTTTAGCGCCTCAGCCTTTTACAAACTACACCCTATTAGTATTTTTTTAAAAAACAATAAGATAATGAAAAACTTGTTTTATTTTTGCACTGAAAACATAATATAAATTACTTCAAAACAATATCCTTTCCAATCATTATCTTTGGAAAGTAAAAGTATACATTATTGTAAAAAAAAGGTAATAGATTCAATTCCTTTTTGAAAAATGGAGTTTAAATCAAGATTAAATATGGCAATATCCTCTTCTATAGTGTTCTAAGAACTAAGCAGAGAGAAGAGTCATATGGAGCACGTTACACTTTAACACTCGCATATAGAGAACTATGATCCATACTGAAGCCTCAGAAAGGGCCAAACGTTGTCTTGAGAATGTGATAACTGGTGTTTTTTAAAAAAAAAAAATAAGATTAAAAATTAATATTAAAAAATAGACAAACCAACCTGAATAGTATGATTCTTGAGGAGAGGATGATCAAAGGCAGGTTGCTTATAAATATCAACACAATCAATTATATCTCCTTCACTCTGCAACAACAAAATCGAAAATAACCATAATCAAAACTTCACAAAAAACTTTTTGTTAAAAATCTTTAATTTCATGAAATATTTAACTTTACAAAAGAAAGCGTGGAAAGCATTTCATTACATGGATGGTTTTAACTGCATTTTTATTGCCAGGGCTTGTTCTCCTGCCTTTGACTCCATGGCCAAAGGATAGTAAAATAATCACCAAAAACCATATGATCTGCCTTGTAATCTCACCCATACTATAGAATCTTGCTCTGCAAAACTCAAAATATCATAGTACAAAAGAACAAATAAAAAAACCAATTTGGATAACATTGACACAAATAGAAAGACATTGCAAAAAACTATTTTGACTAACACGTGTAACCAAACCAAAGGCCAGACTTTAATCTGTGATTTTCTTCAACCTTGTGTTGATACTCACTCTTGAGAGGGTATTTAAAGGAAACTTAAATTGAAATTTCTTATAGAAAAAATGGGAGTTGTTTTCCAAAAAAAATCATGACATATAAATGCTTTCCTAAATGCACGGCTTCTTGGAGCTTAATGTACATTGTCTATATGAAATGTTAACGCAGAGCCTTTCCTACAATTGGAAGTTGTATCTTTATGAAGCCAAGCAGCCTTTATACAGGCATGAGAATCTCCTTTCTCCTTAAGGTAAGACTCAGAGCCTTTATTATAATTAAAAGTTGTATTTCTATTTGAAGGAGCACTTCCTTAATTTGACAAGGTTGATCGTATCTTTTCCCCTGTAATTTCTCAAAAACATATCAGTATAGATGGAATATTTACACAATGACCTGGTTTCTATGCGGCCATAGAGAAATGCGGGCCTCATGATAAATCTACTTTTTGAAATGGATTTTAAGACTTAATTTTTAAAGACATGTAATCTCTATCATGAATATGAAAAAATAAATAAATTTAAAAATTTGACAACAATAATTTTAGTAAGAAAACTTTTGACCACTAGTTTCTATTGTTTTTAGAAAAAACACCTACTTACATCCATCTTTAAGATGGATGCTTTCCATTTTTTGAACCGCAGTGTAAAAAAATAAATAAATTTAAAAATTTGACAACAATAATTTTAGTAAGAAAACTTTTGACCACTAGTTTCTATTGTTTTTAGAAAAAACACCTACTTACATCCATCTTTAAGATGGATGCTTTCCATTTTTTGAACCGCAGTGTAAAAATGCAGTCCAGCCCACCTGAAACAATTTTCCTTTACACAATGGGCCGCAAATCTCTCTCTCTCTATGTTTCTCTCTCTCAAGCCATAGCAGGAATATTTACATATTGGACTACAAATCTCTCTCTCTCTCTTTCTATATATATATATATATATATATATATATAGTAAAG